TTTAGGTCTCTTTTCTGGATGCTTTTTATCGTGGAATCCAAATGTTACATATTGACTTGTTAATATACAGAACATAATCTTAGGTTTGGATATAATTCTTCCCTCTTTAATGACAACCTGTAGAAACCTGCTATTTGTTAACTCAGTTTATAGTTTTATGAGCCATGTGATTATTTTAATTTCTTCTTCCAAGTGTAAAAATGATAATGTGGGGGGGTGGGGGTGGGGGTGGGGGTGAGAAACCTCGGCAACTGGGTGCTCCAAAATAGGGAGCTGCTTGATATCAGCATACTTTATTCAGTGTTGTCTGGACCTTCTTAGAGAGAAGACTTTGCCAGGACAATGATTTTGAGCTTTTTTGTGATTAAATCTTTGATCTTTGTGTGGATTAAATTCTTTCATCTTTCCTGGATTAAACCAATACTAGCAAGTGTATGTGAGGAAGGGATAAAAATATGCTCCTTTGTTTGCAGTAGAAAGTAGGGACGGAGAATATAATTGGGGACTATTTTGAAGACATTTATTTCCAGCTCCTTCTCTTATTGCATTTATGTATACTGTCTTAGAAGGAAAGTTTCATTAAAATTAGATGGATTTACTTTTATGAAAAGACTGCTTTGGGCTCATTGATAGATAATGATAGGCATTCCTTCTATCCTAATTATGTAGAACATATAGTGATGAAGTCTAGAAGGCATTATATAGGGGGAGAATGTATTATGTATTTGAAAAAAAAAAACCTACTGATCACAAAATCTCTGCTGGATGCATATGTAATATGTGCCGGAACTAGAGGAAAATCTACATGGTACGAACATTTCCTGATAGAAAATGTAATTTCTTCTGGTCTAACAGTTATTGATCCACCATCTTTTAATAGGTTTTTCCAAGTAAAAACATTCTCATTCACATGCATATTATGTAATGCTTCCAAGTGGTACATGCAAAGATCTGCCTCTGTCTGCTACCAATTATTGATGTCTGTTTAAGACTGGCTTCTATTCTTTTGGTTACCAATGCAGTACTAATTGACATTTTGATAAAGGGAAGCACGAAAATCCTGTCCACTTAGATGCATATTTTGCTGTGGAATTGCCCAACAGAAGGCATTTTGTAAACAAAGCATGAACAGGCATCTGTTAAATCAAAAACATTTACAAAGCATTCTAATATGTAAGGCTCTTTTCATTCATAAATAATGGGAAGAAGTGGACCTGTTTGAATAACTGTAATTCATTTTTGGTCCTATCTTGCAGGTACAGGCTTGGAATCCAGCTGCTTACTTCAGTTAAATCTTCTTTGGAGAACCTGGCCCATATTAAGGAGGGCTGTGGTGCCTGCACTAAGCCGGCTGACTGACTTCTTAATAAATAAGAATATGTCTTGCTTGGTCTTTTACAGAGTTCAGAATTTTGTAGTTGTTAACAGGAAGCAAAACAAAGGGAATTAAAATTGAGGAAGAAAAGAGGGGCTAGGTAGGAAGCTGGTTGTAACTCAATTCCCTCTTGTACAATGGAGTGAATAGTTCAGAGTACCACAGCATAAATTCAGCGCCAGAAAAGTAAACACAGATGACTGAGGCTTCATTTAACTTCTTTATAAACATATAAAGTAAATTTTACAATACCAGTTGTATATTTCTCCAACATGGAGCAAACTCAAACAGAAGCAGACATGTTACAGGTTCAGAGCAAAGCAGCAACTCGGGAGCTCACAAACAGACACCAGTTTCACTTTAGTTCAGCAGGCAAGCAAGCAAGTTAGTTTCATTTTCAATAGACAGACTCAGAGCTTAACAGAGCTGCAGAGGCTACTTCTAGTTTCAGTTTCCAAACAGTCCTCATTGGCTGACTTAGTTGCTATGTCTATTCATTGCCTGACCAGTTCATGAATATACTCTGACAAATAGATGCTTTTCAACTTCCCCTTTTAGGGCTGAGGTAGAATGAGTGGCCCAAAGTCACCCGACTTTAAGCCTATGGAAGGATTGGAATCTGGGTCTCCCTCTTAAGCAAGCATGTTAACACTACACCCTACTAGCATTCTCTTTCTCTCGAATATATGCATATTTATTTACTCATTAAATTTATACGCTGCTCACCTCCCTGACAGACTATGGGTGTCTTAGAAAAAAGTAAAAAAGATAAATATACCATAGAAACAATTCATTAGAAAAAAACCTAAATAACAATAGATGGCACTGGAATGAGATCTTCTTACCTCATCGATCATCTCCATTGGTGGGTGCCCCCAGCAGGGCCCCAGGCCAACTGGCAAGACCAGGTTGTGATACTTTTCGAGAAGGCCAAAAGGGTGGGAGCAGTTCTCACTTCCAGTGATAGAGCGTTCCACAGGAAGGGGGTCACAGAGGAAAAGGCTTCTCTCCTTGATCCCACCCATTCTTTAGCAGATGATGGCCATAGCAGGTGCCTTTCAGTGGTATGAATGGAGCAGGCGAGTCCCATTGGATAACATTAGTCCTATTGATATGCTTATATGTGCAGTTGCATAAGACAGAAAGGAAGTGCGTGGTAGATATGGTTGTAATGAATTTCAATCCTTGTAAAAAAGTTATTCTATTATTTCATACAATCTAGGAAAAAAAATATGAGGAATCATATTTTTCAAAAAATATGGGTCACAGGCATAAAGACAACTGGTTAGTTCTTATACTGTTCTTTAGATTTTGCCTTTTAATTAATATTAATATCTTTCATTGTTTTCGTGATCTCTGAAAGAATTTAAAATAGTGCTAAAATATACCAATCACAATGCAGTTCAGAATTCACTTGCTGTAGTCTTCTTTAATTTGTTTGCTATATTACTCTTTAATAAAATGGTAGCTCATAATGCATACTTCCAAGTGGTTACATAGTTCATGTAAACTATACATAATAGGTCTAAATGCAATGAATAATGCATCTTGGCATAAATTTAATCACAATAATAACCCAGTAACAGAGCAAAACATTCAACATTTGAATTTACATAATGGAAGAATTCTAATGAAGACACCACACAAGTAAATTAGTACATGAAAATTTGTCTTTTAACTGTTAGATAATTAATTGGTTTTAACAGGAAAAAATAAGCACCTGTTGAATAGGTTGCAGAGAGCATTCTATCAATGCATTAAAATGACTCCACATTTGCATGGGCTGATTTGGCATTTATAAGTAAATACCTTTTAAAATTTCGCTTTAGTGTAAAAGACATCTGGTTTGATATTTCAACTTTCATCGTGCACTAAAAGACTCTAACATTCTGACAAATAAATTGAGTTATATTTTCATGCATTGCTTCCTTTAAAATGACAATATGTAACTTGATGGTTACCATCTAGATTAGCTAGAATGTTAATGTAAGGCAGTTTGCAAGAATGATGGAACAAAACTAGCCCACTCTCCATCTGTTTCTTTTTTCAATCAATGTGCCCGAAGCTTTGAAAACAACTTATTGCTTCACATATTTTAAAATTAATCTTTTCAACAAATATTTTGTCAAAGCTGCTTAATAGTTTCTTCCAATTTTCTATTTGTCATAAGAGAGAGTGGACAATTGAATAGAGTGTATCCGTGAAGTATAAAAATGTAGAAGGCTGCATGTGTATTTCTGGCTCTTTCTTTGTCTCCAGAAGTTGACCAGCTGTGAGTACAGCTGCTTCAAATAATCATAGATAACCAGTTATTTTCTTCCATAAATTTAGAATATTGATTTCTTACTGAATTCAAAATGTTTTCCTCAAACATACAATACTCATTCATTGCACTAGTCATACAGCATGTACTGTAGCTTGCCTGATTACAAGATTTGTTATCTCGTATGTTTTCATGCAAGCTTCCGCTTCTAATTTATCTGGTAGTTTCTATGATAGCAAAACTATTTTCTGTACTTTTCAGCCTGGTTTGTTTTCTTGTCTTGTTCATGATTTTTAAACCAGACTCTTCTGGATTTTAATCTGATTAAATTTCTGACTGTAGCTAGGACCTTCCTGTTGAAACTGCCATAGGACAGAAGAACTGAAGAAAGAAACTAGGGTCTGTGAAGCCCTGGGGAAATCAGTTTAAATGAGTATGAAGATTTATTGCCAGCTTAAGATCTCTACAAGAATCTGACCAACTATCCATTAAGGGAAATGAGTAGGAGATAAAAGAGGCATTCAAGGTGTGCCAGACCTAGATCTCTTGCAGATGCACAGGGACTCCTGACTTATGATTTCATATCAATCCAATATACTGTATTGGAAAAGACTGCTCTAATAAGAGCAATATTTGGCATGTCTTTCATTTCAAACTGCAGATTTTGGGGTGGTGGTGGAATTCCTCACTATATATTTTCAGATATTGTAAATAATATATTAGGCTATACAACACTCAATTGTTGATACAAAAGAAAATACACTTATTAGATGATGAGGTGTTTGGTGTGAGGCAAACCAGCATGAAGCTGCCCTTAGTCTCTCCAACAGCTGATCTGACTGAATCTTTGGTAATGTACCAACATTGTGTGTCTGTTTTATACATTAATAAGTCTACTTTGCCAAAGGTCAGTAGTGAAGCTTACAGATATGCGATCAGTAATAATGAGAGGAAGTATCTTGATAGATCTTTCAGATGAGATTAATGTTATGAGCAAAACTGTATTATCTTGCAATTTTATCTAGCTAATTGATTTAGGATTGTAGGGTGCCATTTTAGATGCTTTCACAGGTTCTGTATTATTTCTATGTAGAGATAATTTTGCTATGAATAGATGGGGAAGAAGCATAAAATCCATCTCAGCTAATAAGAAAATTTCAGTCTTTAAAAGATGACGTGATTGAGAGTGGATTTAAAAATCTGTAAGAATAGGTAATGTGTTTTTTTTATAAAATCATATATTATTGTAAAAAAATGGCTAACAAGCACATGTTATACAGATAAAATGATGCAAGCAACTTGTCTAACATTCTATATTTCCTCTAATATGAGATTGCAATGGTTTATTCCCTGTTCCTGCAGAATTACTATGGAGCTGCCAAAATGATATTTTCTGACAATCCACTGGGACTATCATGTGGGATGGTGTGTCCAACTTCTGATCTTTGTGTGGGAGGATGCAATTTATATGCCACTGAGGATGGACCAATTAATATTGGTGGACTGCAGCAATTTGCTACAGAGGTAAGTAAAATGTATTTAGATAGTTCTATTTTTCCTTCTTCACTTTGCATGAGATTTTTCAGCAGTTCTTTTTTTTTTTGGAACCTAATTAAAGCGGATGTGATAAGATTCCTTTTCTTCATATAGAACACAAAGCAGAGAGTTACTAGCAATTAAAAACTAGCTTTATCTTCTAAAGTAAGCACTGCACAACAGTTATAAAAATATCATTTATTCAAGTTTTCAGCCCCACATATAACTTTCAGGATAGATTTACAAGTGTAAAGTTAAATGTTTATTAGATCTACACCAAGTTAGTTAATATTGATTTTTTTTTTTTCATTTTCATCATTATTTCAGTTACCAAACTAAGGTTCAGCTACCATAGTCTGGATTCAAAATGTAATACTTCAAATGGAAAATCAGAGGTATTAAAATGTCTCATTTGTAAGAAAGAAAAGACTCAATAGGATGCTAAGGCATTAAAAAAGAAAAAAAGGCAGGATGATGCCATTATTTGAAAAATCCAATGTTTTAGTCACCTGAATATCAGGCATGGAATATTTGAAAATGACTTTGAAATATTCTAGCCCCAAATCATTAACATCCTTGAAGGTAATAATTACAATTTTTAACTTTGTTTTCAAGAAACATGGTAGCTAGTAGTGATTTAATAACAAAATATATGTGCTGAAAAGATTTATACTCAAACTACAACATTGATCTGTATATGAAAAAATGAGGTATAGCAAGGCGTTTTCACAATATTACGATATTTTATTTATATAATGAATATACCACTCTCATTTAAATAAGGTTGAATTTTGTAAGCTTCGATTTTTTGTTAAAACTTGCATGCTTTATGAAATAAATTTTTCATTCAATTACAGACAACATGCTATGATAATGAAATTGACCTTATTGGTCTTTGTTTAAACTTCAGACACTTACAAGTTTGTGCTGAATTTGTTATTATATAGTGTTCTACTCACAAACCCATTACACTATTATTTTTTGGAATAAGCAACATTACCAGGCACAGTATGGAATAAACAACAGTAACCAAATAAATTCAAGGATGAGATCGGCTAAACAATCCCATGTGCCCCTCTCTCTATTTTTTTTTTAATTCTTTAAACTTCTCACCTTTCTACATTTTATAAGGATTTCTTCAGCTTCGTCAAAACTCATTTTTGGTCTTCCCCTTCCTCTCAGTTCCTTCCTTCCTTCTTCATATAATTGCTTTCATTCAAATCTCTATTCACTCCTTCTGTGTTGCTGTACCACCTCCATCAAGGTTTTTCATACTGGTCATGCATTTTTCTATTCAGTATACAGTCATTCAATACATATTCATTCTTAACCCTATGTCTTCTTGTTTTATTATCCCCTGCTCAAGTACCCAATTCTTATTGTATTCAACTTACTTTTATGATGTCATATCAGCTCTCATTATCATATAACAAAATAGGCTGAAGCTCCTATTCTGCACTCATTTGCATAGCTGTTTTCACTTATTATGACTAACATTCATTCTTTGCAAAAGTCCACAAGTCCATTATTCATTCCTTTCTACCATCGTTTTCAGGGTTTACAGTTTTTCTGTTTTTGTATTTTTAATAAACATTTTAGAAAGGCACACAAACGCATCTTTATCCTTTCTTTTTTGCCATGTATTACTTATTGTTGTTCTCTCCATGCTTACTACCAAACACAGCTACTTTGATCTTTGACACATTAATTTTCAGATCTATAGCCCTTACTGCATTATGTAATTCCCTGCAAATTATTTAGGTTCTCAGTCATTCACATCTGCATACAAAAGTACATGTACGTTCATGGCAAAAGCGTTTCGTTCAATTTCACTCTAGCATCACCATCATTCCTATAAAAATCTCTAAATACTCCTCCCAGCATTATGTTACTTTTCCTTCATCTCAGATCATTTCATCATTTTTATTTTTCATTGCATGCATCTCCTGGAAGCCCTACTTTAAACTTATTCACCCTCTTTCAAGACATTTTTTTATCTTTTACTTGCAACTTTTAATATTAATATTTTTTGACCACAGTCTCTCTCTCTCTTTCACCTTCTTTTTCTCTCTCTCTCTCTGTCTGTTTGTCTCTCTCTCACCCACACCCATACCCACCCACCCACATACAGAGGAGAGAGACTCTTCTACCCTTTTATGCTGGAATGATGTAAAAATCTATCTCCTTCCTTAAGGACTGGGATAGAGAGAAGTTGGAATTGAATGGCTCTTTTGGTCGTTCCATCCCATTCCATTCTACAGGATCAGAGCAGCTTCATTCACATCCATTATGTCCTTCCCCTTTCTTAGTTTCACAGATATACATTTGTTTTTCATTCTTTCATTTCATGATCTTTACTTTAATGAGTTGTGGTGGCGCAGTGGTTAGGATGCAATTTTGCAGGCTAATTCTGCCGACTGTCTGTAGTTTGATTCTCTCCGCTTCAAGGTTGACTCACCTCTCTGTCCTTCCAAAGTTGGTAAAATGAGGGCCCAGATTGTTGGGGGTAATATGCTGACTCTGTAAACTACTTAGAGAGAGCTGTAAAGCACTATGAAACAGTATATAAGTCTAAGTACTATTCTTATTTGTATTATTAATATACAAACAAACAAACAAATAAAAAAATATTGCTGCCTATCTTGCCACAGAGCAACTCTGTTATTACAATACATTCCATGTCTCAATTTTTCATATATCACAACTATCAACTATACTGTTTTCATAGTATGATAAAGAAAGCATAGATAAAGTTACTAGCGTAGAAATGTTTGAGCTACATGCAGCATTCCCTGCTAATAAAAAGAACAGTCCTAGTCAATTTTGGTATATATTGGTCAGTGTGATACAAATTCAACAAAATACTAATTTTTCCCCAGTATGTTCACATTATTCTATACAAGCTAAGATTACTAATCTAGAGACTGTCTTAAATGCCGTTATACTGTTGTCTGCTTCCTGTCAAGAAGGACATGCCTACTGATGCACATTCAGAATGCATATAGCTTGCTGCTTTCATTTTTCAATATGCCAGTCCTGACCTTTTCTGCTTTGGGATAGGTTGCTCTTTTACTTCTGCATTTGCCAAGCTTCTAGATTTTATCTATTTACTCATATAAAATCTCGTAGGTGTCTGCGGGTGGGCAGGTGGGGAGGGGAGTTAAGTAGCAAAAGGTGCAACATGATGCTTTGATGCAATCCTACTCCTTATATACTAATATCTGGGCACAGAAGTATAGAAGGTAGGATTTGCATTGCAATATTAAGACATACTTTTCATCATTTTTGCATTGTTGTGGCTAGAATATAGGTGCATATGCATATTCCATCATCATGATTCATATCCAAGAAACAACATAACTGTGCAGTAATTTGATCAAATGAGAAATTCCCTTAATAAGCCAAAAATAAACTGAATGGGGAGATATGCCAGTATTATTTTAAGCAAGGATTGAATAAAGTTAAGAGCCATCCAGTTTTAATTATTTGGGAGAAGCCGTGAAGATCTAATGCAAATTTGCAGTCCAGAAGACTTAATACCCAGGATACTGAAATAGCTGGCAGAAGTGACTTCAGAACTTTTCACTGTATTTTCTTGGCTACCTGATTCAAATTCTGGAATTTGAATCAAGTGCAGTAATGTGATAAATTGAGAAATATCCTAAATGAGCTAAAAATAGACTAGATGGGGTGATGTGCCTGTATTACTTTAGGAGCCATGGTGGCGTAGTAGTTAGAATGCAGTATTGCAGGCTACTTTTGCCCACAGCCACTAGTTTTGAGCCCGATGGGCTCCAGGTTGACTCAGCCTTCTATCCTTCTGAGGTCCATAAAATGAGGGCCCAGATTGTTGGGGGATAATAAGCTGACATTGTAAACCGCTTAGAGAGAGCTGTAAAAAGCACTGTGAAACAGTATATAAATCTAAGTGCTATCGCTATTGCCACATCAACTACTTCTCATAGGCCTTGGTTTCCTTCCTCTATATCATTCTGATAGCTCTCCTCTAAGCATGCTTCAACTTCTCTTTGTCATTGTCAGACATGAACAATCAAATCCACACACAGAGTCCAATTAGCTGTTTTATTGCTTAAGCCTACATGCAGGAATCTTCTCAGACTGATAGAGGGGTATTAGACTTCACCCTTTTGTGCCCGTGTAGGGATTCCAGATTAATTGGACTCTTCCCACTGTCTTGTCCAGTGTCTCCAACAGTCCTCTTTGCCCAAAACTGAATACAATATTCCAATGACCTGGATGCTGCATTTCTGTTAATGCAAGTAATATCTGTTAAGACTTCACTTGTGTCTCTTTTTAGTTCTAATGTGATTAGTAGGAAAAAATTATGCCCTGATGGATTTTCGTAAATATGTACAATTCTTCTTGAAAAATCTTTATAAACCTATTAAAATGCTGTGGTCTAGCACAATGATTGATATTGAAACAGGCATAGGATAAATAGCTCAGAATGATTTTCATCACATAATTTTAAGTTTATTTAAAATGATCTATTGGTACCAAGGCTCTAATACAATTGAGCAGTATAGCACTACTACATAATTTAAAATGCATTCAAGTATATACGTGTACAGATAGATATTAGAATGTGTGCCCTTTTTATAGCTTGTTCATGTTCATAACTTTTGTGAACTTTAGATATTTTGTATTGGGTTCTCAGTGACTATTTTATATATTATAGAAATTATAGAGGACAATAATCTGTCATATTTGAATCACATTTCTGTAATATCCAACAAGCAAAATCTTTCAGAATTAAAATATTGAACTTTTTTATAGCTATTACATTTATTGACAGATATCTTACAGTAGATAGGAATATGGCAAAAGACAAAATACTAATAATACTGTAGCCTAATATAATGTGGTGAATTGTGTCTGAAAAAAGCTTCAATTTCCAAGTTTGAATCCAAAGTATTTTAGAGGCAGTACATTGGTTTTTATTCATGATTACTCATAATTTCTTTTGG